TATATCAAAAGTTATTTAGCTTTGAAATTTTTAAAAAATAAACACTACTTATAAATTCCAAAAATCAGCCCATATGAGTTATACTATACACATTAAATATATTTATAACAATTCAGGGAATTACAATTTCTACCGTAGTAATTTGCTACTTCCATCATGGAAGGATTAATGTTGCAAAGTCCGCTTAATCTAACCCTAACCCTAATCCTAGCCGATCAAATTCAAACTCTAGCTCTAACTTTAGCTCTTAGGTTGTTTAATATATAAGAACTTTCATGATTTTTTTCTTGATATACGTAGAAACAGTGAACTGTCATACGTTGGCCTGTCAGAAAATATTGAAATTTGTCTGGTTAGAAAAAAACAAAAAAACAGTATGTTTTAAAATACTAAACCTACTTATTTATATTATTTTTTTTTATGTAAGGAACAATTATATCTATGACAGTTAAAATAGTCACTTTTGTTTCTTTCTTGTTATAATACTTTCGGTAGAATAATATCCCTGTTAAAGAATGATTTCAATATTCAATTCTGACTGATCATCTTTACTATATTTCGGCTGCGCCGAAGTATTTAGGCACCGATTTTTCGGCAAAAATAAAGCCGCAAGTCATAGTTTATGCCGAAATCCGAAACAAATGCCGAAATCCAAAACATATGCCATAATCTAAATTAATTGCCGCAATTTGTCTTATAATAATTTATAAACATCGAATTATTTCAGTATTTAAATAAAATATACTTTTTTTGTTTTTATTACATCACTTAAAATCACTACATCAATCGATGATATATCAATTACTTTATACTTTATTGCTTTCGGCATTATATTAAATAATTATATTTTATTACTTTCGGCACTATATCAATACTTAGCAGAAACTTGAATTTTTGCCATTTATGATTATCATAATATAGTTATATAACTATTATATGATAAAAATATGATAAAAATATTTTTAATCTGTTAAGTTACTATTAACAATATTTTTATCATATTGTTAAGTGTTAAGATATTAGTAACATTGTTTAATTATTTTAAACAGATTGCTATTATATTATCAAAATATTATTAAAATATTATATTATTAGATTGCTATTAGATTGCTATTAAATAATTACTAGTTAATATTAGATTATACTTATATTATATTTATATTATAAATATATGGTATTAATCGCGTTAATAGTGATTAACAGAATTACGAAAATATGTTTAAAGTATTGTAATAATACATTTTATATATGTTTATCATATATTTATTATATTTTTTTATTAAAATATTTGTATCATATTTTTATCATATAATATTTATATAACTATCATATGATAATCATAAAATGGCAAAAATTCATGTTTCTGCTAAGTAATTATAAGCAATAGATTTATTAAGGCAAATATTTCAATAATCAAAATACAAATATTATATAAGTACTAAATTTGCTTAAATTGAACCTTATATAATACTTACCAAGAGGAATTTCGGTAGAGTTTATAGGTTTACTTGCCAAAGTTTCTAATACAATATAATTAATTTAATAAAGAAGTAAATAAATAATATAGTGTAATTTTTAAAATAAGTAGCGCTTGAAATTTTCTGAGTGTTAATAATTTTGCTAGTATACATAATATCAGGATGTTTTGGTGAAGTAGTTGGCAATTCTTTGATCATTTTATCTGCAGCTAAGAATTGCATTTTAATTTCATCTGTATCATCTGTGTTTTCCATGCTTTTCCATTTGTTAATTTCATTCCAAATGTCCCAAGCAGAAGGTCGTTTTTGTGGATCAAAATCCATGCAATTCATAGCTAATTCAATATAGCAATCTGGAGTTCTAGGAGCAAATTCAGGCCGCAATCCATTTTGAATAATGTTAATAGCGAGACCATCATCAAATTGATAACCATAAAAAGGCCTTTGTCCAGTTGACACCTCAGACATTATAACTCCAAAACCATAAATATCAGCGGCTTTTGTAAACTTTTGACCCGATAAGACTTCTGGAGCAACATAAGGCATAACTCCATAAATACAATCTTCCGAATCATTTTCACCATACTTTTTAGACAAACCCATATCTGAAACATACGATTGTATAACATTGCTAATACCTTTATCTTGTAGAATATTACCACTGTGGAAGTCAGCGTGAATATACCCTGCATAATGAATATTTCTTAAATCTTTTGAAATATCGATAAGTAGCTTTAATTTAGTCTGCCAGGTAACTTCTCGAAAATTTTTTCTTAAGAACTTATAAAGGCTTCCACTATTTGCGTATTGAAATACCATCAAGTATTCATTTGTTTTTGTATTTTGAGTCAATCCATATATTTTAAGCTTACTACCCCACCAACCACATTTCGTAAGACTTTCAAACTTTATAAGTTTATATAAATTAGTTCATTTAATAAACTATATGATTATATCTATATAATTATATAATAATATTTAACTTACTTCATTCAAAAAATCATCCTTAGAACTAGATAAGGTCTTGAGAGCAACAGTGCTAGATGGTTTGCGCGCTCTCTCATAAGTTTTCTCATTTTCTTTGATCTCTCGTATACCATCCAACCAGGTTGCAGAAAATATAGAACCAAATCCTCTATTACCGAATTTTTTAATATTAATTAGTCTATCAAATAAAATCCACTCAATCATATCTTCATAATTATCGGTTCTAAGTTGTAAAGCTTTCATGCAATCATCAATCTTTTTATTTCCACTTGTCCATCCTTGAATGGTTATGTCAGGATCGCATGTCTGACACCATGCTTTCTGCATGTTATATTCATTACAATATGTACATTTTCCATATTTAGAATCTCTATAAGATAGTTATAAATATTTGTTTTTCATTTCATGTGATTTTAAATTTCATATTGAACATAATTTTTATACTTACCGGCTAAATTATGATTTAAATGTAAAAATAAGTATTAATGTATTTATATTGTGTACTTGTTTTGCTGTTTTTAATTCAATTGATTAATAAATGTTCTTTATACTTACTCACTGAATGAAATGATTAATGCGAATGAAATGAATTTAAACGTATTGGTTATAAGTATTTATGTTCATGTTTTGTGAACTTGGTTTGCTGTTTTTAATTCCATTGATTAATAAATGTTCTTTATACTAACACACTAAATTAATGCGAATGAATTGAATTTAAACGTAATGGCAAATAAGTATTTATGTTCATGATTTGTGAACTTGTTTTGCTGTTTTTAATTCCATTAATTAATAAATGTTCTTTATACTCACAGACTAAATTAATGCGAATTAAATGAATTTAAACGTATTGGTAAATAAGTATTTATGTTCATGATTTGTGAACTTGTTTGCTGTTTTTAATTCCATTGATTAATAAATTTTCTTTATACTCACAGACTAAATTAATGCGAATTAAATGAATTTAACCGTATTGGTAAATAAGTATTTATGCTCATGATTTGTGAACTTGTTTGCTGTTTTTAATTCCATTGATTACTGCGCTTTTCAAATTACTGTGTCCATCAAATGATCGACCATCACACGGAAATCTTCAAATATACGACTTTTTTTGTGAATAAATCCAAATATCTTGCTTACAAATAAAAATTTCAAAGATTCCTCTTTTATTTTAGCTTTTCCTGGTAAACATCTACCAATGCGTAGGAAATTATTGCTAGTTTGGCCAAATAACATTGGGAATTTGTTTTTTTTATGCCTAACAAAAAAAAAAAACGACTCCAATCCTCAATGTTATTTGGTCAAACTAGCAATAATTTCCTATGTATTACTAGATGTTTTACTGGGAATAGGGGTGTTAATCAGTCCCAACCAGTCCAATCGGTCCTAAGATTATTTGGCAAATTGCTAATTCCAGAAATGTGTAATCGCTTATCTCCAATAAGTAACCTACCTAAAAAACATCTCTGGGAAGAACTTTTATTAACAACTTTTGTTAAAAAAAATCATCTTAAAAATTAGAAATTTGCTTGAGACTGATACCAACTAAATCAGTCCTAGGACAGATTTGGTTGACATCGGTCCCAATCAAATTTCTAACTTTTAAGATGATTTTTTTAACAAACATTGTTAATAAAAGTTTTTCCCAGTGATGTTTTAAGGTAGGTTACTTATTGGAGATAAGCGATTACACATTTCTGGAATTAGCAATTTGTCAAATCATCTTAGGACCGATTAGGACTAGTTGGGACCGATTAACACCCCTAACTGGGAAAAGTGAAAATAAAAGAGGAATCTTTGAAATTTTTATTTGTAAGCAAGATATTTGGATTTATTTAGTGTTGTCCTGGACATATGTTCGCCCACTTTTAACACTATTGGACTGGACATGAATATTGGACATATTCCTGGACATAGTCCAGGTCCAATATGCCCAATCATCTTTTATCAACTTCAAAATAGGCTATTTTAAAGTTTTTTTTTTATTTAATCTTCGCATTTATAATAGAGTTACACTTTATGGATAACGTATATACATCAGGCAATATTCAAGCAGCAATACTGATGTACAAATAGCAAAATATATTGCCGTGTTATATCTTTTTTCATTAATAATAAATGTTTGCTTATTTAGAGATACATTAAATCAGAAAATATTTACATTTTTCATAAATTTAAAAACTATATTTTTTTGGCGTATTCTACATTTAAAGAAGTGAGTAGCAAAGATATATGAACATATATATATATATATTTATCTAAGCTAACTATCAAAATCTACATATAAATGCATAATATATCCTGATATAATGTTAATTATAAGTTGCATGGCAATTTAAAATATTGAAGAAATAAGGCAAGGATATTTATAGCATAGAATATTATATTTACTTAAAAAATATACAAATTCCTAATTTGTAAGTTAATATAACTAAATATTAGTCACAAAAAAAGGTGCTTCCAAATCAGCTAAAAACAATTTGTTTAATGGCCACTTAGCCTGGTGATCTTTTACTAGATGTTTTTTATCTAATAATTTATTTATGTTTGTCAATTCTAAGTCCAATAAATTATCATATTCATTTTCATTTAAGTCTGATAACCATAATGACACAATATCTTTATTATTTTCATCTTCGAATTCCAAGCAGCTATCTTCTTCATTAGTTGAAGTAGTTGAAGAAGTATCAAACATGTCTTCAGAATAATCTAATAATGCAGTTGTTGAGGCTGATTCATAAAGTCTTTTGAGTTTATCTAATTCTTGAATCTGGTAATTTTGAGTAAGTATTCCACGTAATTGGCTAATTGCTAATACTTTATGAAACTTTAATTTGATTTTTAATAAGGTAAATCTATATATAAAAATGTATAATTTGTGCACAAAATCCTAATATAGTAGCAATTAAAATTAGAACAAAAATTTAGATGTACAAGTAATATAAAAAAGTTTACTGGTAGCTTATTATGCTGATTAGAATGGATAAATCCTATTGAAAACCAGAGATGTTTAACAGAGGCTGCATTTACACATATCTCATAAATTCACAATGCTACTTGACCCAGTTCTTTAGTACATGATGCATAATAATTCTAATACTCAATAACATCATTACCAAATTGTCTTGAGGTTACAGAGTTAAATGGTGATTGTTTTTGCTAAAAAAGCTCAAGCCTATGTAAAATCAAATTTGGCTGCTGATAAAACCAAGCAAAGTATTAGTACAGAATATATTCATCTATATCAACCCATGTTAATATATCTAAATCAGAATTAAATTTATCTATTTGGTATGCTAGATAAAGAATAAATGATAATATTAATAGTAGTTGTTCCCAGGAGTTTTAGTGTTTTTCTAAGTGATTCAAAAGTTGTAAACTAAGATCAGAATTATGATATTCTTTAATTATTTTAAATAAATAACCAAAGAAATATAAAACTTCAAAGAGCTGTGCTTTGTCACACTACAATAAATCAAGACAAGTACAATAAATAATAATAATGATTTTAGATTTCTTATTTGTTGTCACCAATTCTCATTATTAATAATATTGCAAATATTATCTGACAATATTAAATTAGTAGTATTTTGGAAACTAGATAATTTATCTGAATTATTTTCAAAGGTTCATATCTTGTGATTAAAGTCTAAATAAAAATATTTACTTTTTTTTTTTTTTTTTGGTGATCCTGCCTTTATTTATTAAGGTATCAAGACTACTAATATACACTGTGTAATTAAT